TGGAGAATGTCCCATTATTCGAGATAGAACTGACTGTGGAGACTGACATATCAAGTAAACACATTGTTTATGACGAGATGAAATACAAAAAATAAAAATGCCAAGAGTGATGAGAGTTAAAGGCAGTAGTAGGTAAAGCATGGATGAAATATTCCATTGGAAATGCTGACGAATCAATTTATAAAATGACTAATGTTGCAAAGCACCACTTGTGAAAGGCTACTCTTACGTAAGCCAACTTAATATCAAATATGAATGACTAGCCTACAAACTTATGAAACATGTGGTCTCTGATTATTATACGATACCAATCAACAATTGCTTCGATGGATTGTCGACGAGGCCGTTTGGCGAGCTCTCTTGAGTTAACCTTCGTTCGAGTCCACTCCTATGCAACCAAGTAGCTCTGAACAGTGGACGTGAGTTCTCACGCCTGGCAGGGCACGACCATGAATGACACGCCAGTGTTAAATGGCGTTCCATAGGTTGAGCCACTACCAACAGCATAGATGCTCCCTTGTCCCTGTAGAGGATAGCTAAATTGCTAAATAAAGTTTGACACAACATGTTGTTTAGCAAACAGCCCTATTAAGATCTTTGTTGTAATGCCTTGACAGCGGAGGGCGTATTTGTTAATTGTAATGGCCTTTATAGCAGCATGAACAGGAAGTAGTTCTACTGGTGTGAGTGGGAAAGCACTTAAATATGAACAAATATGACTAATTGTTAATGTTTAGACAACTATTTCATATAGCATGAATAAGTACAGGTTATTGACATTTCCTATTATTACATGGGCACTTATATTTGGAAGATTTCCGAAATTCCCAGAAGTACTTTTTAGTGTTGTTGAGAGACGCTGATGGGAAGCATGACCTGAAACTTATCGGAGTGTTAGTACAGAGTTTCTGAGTAATAGTAAATCGTGATCATTTCACCCGCTAAACATTACATTCATGATAGTGAAAATGAAACCCGGATGTACAGAAAGCCCATATGGTAGGTCTACCCTGTGAATAACCTTGAGAGATTATCCATGAAATGAGCACTTACGATAAATACGACCAGATCTGATAACTGAAATTAATGATAACATTAATAGCAATGCGGAATGACGGCTAATTTATCAGCTCTCTTCTCCTGGGGGTAAACATGGAGCAAAACATTGCGTCAAATGCTGGATGTCACCAAAAACTGCGATGAAAAGGATACGCTGTATCCTGGGATCAGAGGTATTACAGACGGCTGGAAAGCCGCCAGCGCCGAGTCCTTGGGCCATGCGAGAGGGGTCCGAGTGGAGGCAGTGGAGGAGGCCACACGGCTTAGGAAGCGGAAGAAGAAAGACCAGCCTGGTCGGAGACGCCCATAGCCTCGCATCTGGAAAATTCCCCCTTCGCTGGTGAAGCCGATTCTGGAATACTGTCGTCGGAGAATGCAGGCAAGAGCTGAGTACATTCGTAGCCAGTTGAGAAGAGCTCATGGCTGGAAATGTCTGGAGCCACTGTGAATTCCCTTCTCGGCCAGGATTCCCGGAAGTCTGAAAATACCCCAATTGCCTAATGGTGATTCACTAACATCTTCTCTGGGAACCTAGTCCTGGAGGAATCACCTGGATGAAACTGAGAGTGTTTGTAGATTGATCGCTGGAAGGAGGGACGTAGCTTCTCCCTCAGGGGAGATACGTCATCTGACATGACTTAAACAACACGGAAGTATACCGTCGTCGGAAGACTGTTGCTGCAAAACAACAAGTGGGAATATAAATAACCCGAGATTCATACCCATTGCTTGAAAGAAAGGAAAGTGATTATTGCATGAGTGAGCTCATAGGTTAATCAGCAACTGTGGTGGAATTGCCTTAGTGTGCCATGCTCATTGGCTGAAGTTAACAGGTGAATGACATTCCGCACGCTTGCTAATAGTAAAGGAAGAGGAGAGACGTGACGCTAAGCTGATGAGGTAACATTATAACACTACCCAATAAATCACAGGAGGCTGCTGAGGGGAGGACGGCTCATAATAATGGCTGGAATGGAGTGAATGGAATGGTATCAACGACATGGAAACCATGTTGTTGATGTATTTGATACCATTCCATTAATTTGGTTCCAGCCATTACTATGAGCCCGTCCTCCCCAATTAAGGTGCCGCCAAGCTCCTCTGCTATAAATACCTGCCATGCTGATGAGGTAACACCATAGAACCTAGCATATAAATACCTGCTATGCTGATAGGGTAACATTATAAACACTACCATAGATACCTGCTATGCTTATGAGGTAACATTTATAATCATTGAATGAAAAGTGACGATCCATTCAGACCAGCCTACTGATCGAACTTTTGTAAACTACATTTGATACAGTGTTGAAAAGTTTGCTTGCAAAAGCTTTTGGCCGGACCTAGTTGATTGATTTGATACTCTTCTCCCGAGGAAGGAATACCGTCATCTGGAAATGCAGGGAATAGCCGAGTACATTCGTAACCAGTTGAGAAGAGCTCATGGCTGGAAATGCCTGGAGACACTGTTAATTCCCTACTCGGCTACGATTCCAGGAAGTTGGAAAATACCACACTTGCCTAATGGTGATTCACTAACATCTTCTCGGGGAACCTAGTCGTGGAGGAATCACCTGGCTCAAACTGAGTGATTGTAGATCGATCACTGAAACAAGGGACGTAGCTTCTCCCTCAGGGGAGATACTCCGTCTAAAATGACAGCTTCGGGCCGGTCCCAGTTTATTGATTTGATACAACGTTGCACTTCACTAGCGATAGTTAAAGTCAAGACAGATAGAAAGGGAGGCAGACAGGCATAGTAGAGAGATTAATGCAATTGACAGAACCTGAATTTTCATCAGGATATTTTATACTGTTTTTATTTTTGTCGGCTTTAGGCCTTTGTATTTTACTTAGCTAACGATGGAAGTTATAGGCCTACTGCTGCATTGGCCTATAGGCTATCTATGGGGATTTTGATTTTGATAACCTATTGCGGGTTGAGCTACAATATCTGGTGGTAACCCATGGATTTGCAGGACTTACAATGGCAAGTCTAATTACTTGGCTTGGCTAGCTATAGCTAGCTGACTAATCTAAATTTGAATGATGCACCAGCTGTTTGTTCCACTCTGCCCCGGTTTCTGGAAGGATGTGGACTGTGGTGATTACTGCTGAGGTGTGGTGGTCTCTCAATCACTTATAGCTGCCGAACCATCACCCAGGTGGGTGCTACACTTTTCGGTGGGTTAGACAGAGAGGTGCCTGATGAAGAGCTCCGGGCCTGCCTGTTTGACCAATGTTTCTCACTCCCTGGCTGGACGCCACCTCCCCTCAAGCTACTCATGTACTGAACTGCATCACCATCTTTCATGAACTGCCAGCTCCCTGATATAGTTTTTTTGTTTTTCTAAAGTGACTTTGATATTCTGTGTGAAAGGTGCATATAAAATACATACAGTGGGGAGAACAAGTATTTGATACACTGCCGATTTAGCAAGTTTTCCTACTTACAAAGCATGTAGAGGTCTGTAATTTTTATCATAGGTACACTTCAACTGTGAGAGACGGAATCTAAAACAAAAATCCAGAAAATCACATTGTATGATTTTTAAGTAATTCATTTGCATTTTATTGCATGACATAAGTATTTGATACATCACAAAAGCAGAACTTAATATTTGGTACAGAAACCTTTGTTTGCAATTACAGAGATCATACGTTTCCTGTAGGACTTGACCAGGTTTGCACGCACTGCAGCAGGGATTTTGGCCCACTCCTCCATACAGACCTTCTCCAGGTCCTTCAGGTCATTGACCAGGTCCTGCTGTGTAGTTCTTGGCTGATCCCTCACCTTCCTCATGATCATTGATGCCCCACGAGGTGAGATCTTGCATGGAGCCCCAGACCGAGGGTGATTGACCGTCATCTTGAACTTCTTCCATTTTCTAATAATTGCGCCAACAGTTGTTGGCTTCTCACCACGCTGCTTGCCTATTGTCCTGTAGCCCATCACAGCCTTGTGCAGGTCTACAATTTTATCCCTGATGTCCTTACACAGCTCTCTGGTCTTGGCCATTGTGGAGAGGTTGGAGTCTGTTTGATTGAGTGTGTGGACAGGTGTCTTTTATACAGGTAACGAGTTCAAACAGGTGCAGTTAATACAGGTAATGAGTGGAGAACAGGAGGGCTTCTTAAAGAAAACCTAACAGGTCTGTGAGAGTCGGAATTCTTACTGGTTGGTAGGTGATCAAATACTTATGTCATGCAGTAAAATGCTAATTAATTACTTAAAAATCATACAATGTGATTTTCTGGATTTTTGTTTTAGATTCCATCTGTCACAGTTGAAGTGTACCTATGATAAAAATTACAGACCTCTACATGCTTTGTAAGTAGGAAAACCTGCAAAATCTACACTGTTTCAAATACTTGTTCTCCCCACTGTATATTATTATTTATAATTAGTCTATGTTAATAAACCAATAACAAAGACAGTTCCAAACCTCTCTGCCAATAACAGCTAGTTTTATGGTTACATATCCGTCCCATATCCGTCCCTCTTTTTAATCAAAAAACTTATTTTTGTTTATTTTTTACCTTTTTAAACGGAAAACTATTACATGAAGTTACTTAATTGTTACCCAGAAATTATTTGACATTGAGATAAAAACAGCTGCACTAGGCCTTTAAGCAAATCACAGTATTGTCATAAGGGCTGGATCATATCCACATATAGAAAACAGCAGCTGTTCTGATCTAAGAGTTGAACCAGGTCTGAGGTGAGCAGTGTGTGATGGTCTAGGCCTGAATCTGGTCTGAAGCTAGCAGTCTGTGGTGGCCTAGGCCTGAACCCAGTCTTATTCGGTCTTAAGCAGTCTTCTATCAGTCTGTGTTAACCTGACCCTGAACCAGGTCTGAGGTGAGTGGTCTGTGGTGGTCTAAGCCTGAAGAAGTGTTCAGCCTAGCGTAGCCAAGTCTAGTCTGATCCTGTACCAGGTCTAAACTATGTCTAGCTTGACCCAGTCTTGCCTCTCACAGCTTGGCGTGCGCTCCAGTAGCCTCCACGTGTCCAGCAGAGCCTCCTCCGCGTTGGTCTCATCGCAGCTGTTGAACGCCGACACAGCAAAGTTGATGTTCTGCCATGGGGTTGTAGCACATGCCATAGCTGTCAGGCGCTAAGGGCCCGAAGCACATCACGCAGTCCGTCTTGGCTGGTACCTTTGGAGGAGGAGAAAGAGGGGAAGGGGGAGAGACAGAGTGCATTACAGTATGTGCATTAGCTAGACCCCCAAGTAGCCTCATTAGCTAACTACTAATGACTAAGCATGGTAGTGTAGGTATAAAATGGGCTAACCAAGCTGACACTTTGCTGACGGTAATAGTGTTGGCTACTGACAACATTAGCTCGATAGCTAATTGCTAAGTTTGGCTACAGCTGTCCCAATCGTGCGGGGAAGACAGAAAAGCAAGCAAGCTGTATTTCAGTACTACCTCAGGGCGCAGTTTTTATCAACCAAAAAGTCAAATAGCAGGAATTCAACCAAAACGGTTGTATAAACACTGCCACTGCATTGCCATATGGTATTCAGCCACCATATTGGGTTGTCTGGTCGGATGACAGCAATGAGCGACATGGAAAAGGCCAATGTCCAGATACCTAGCTAGTTTCCTGGCTAGTGGAGAGGTTTTAGTGGTTGACCACAGCGTACGAGGTGTCCATGAAGATCTCAGGCATGGAGGTCAGGTCCTCGATGGCCTGCAGCTTCAGCCTCAGAAGGTATCTGTCTATGGCCTGGCCACGGATCGCCTGGACTCAGCCAAACCATAGTCATACATATTGATTGTGTTTATATAGGCTACATCATTAATCCAAACATACAGGAAAAAAACACTTGACTGGTGAACTTCAAACCTTTCGTGATGTATTTTAGCATGCGTGTCTGCAGTACTCTGTCACTGATGATGGTTGAGTAAACGAAAATGTTTGTCTTATCAATTTTATTTATGCACCTTATTGCACTATGCACATTTTGGGGCATCATTTTCTAATAAATAACATAATAATATACAACATATTTTTGCATCTGAGCCTCTGTTTTAAATAATTTCCACGTTTTCGACAGTGTGCGGGTATCTATCCTTTCCATTTGACCGCAGCACTGTGGGCTTTCACAGCTTTCTCCAATAACGTCACTTGTTCTATGTTCTGTTTGGCTGGGTTGTCCATGGCCTTGACAAAGTTAGCCAAGTCGATGGAGCAGGAACGGATGGTGTCAGTGTGAAACCAGCGCGGTACATCCTGATAGATAGAGGAGAGAGAGAGAGAGAGAGAGAGAGAGAGAGAGAGACAGCAGAGAGAGAGAGAGAGAAGAGAGAGAGAGAGAGAGCGGAAGGAGAGAGAAGAGAGAGAGAGAGAGAGCTCGCTCTCTCGTGCGATGCTCTCTCTCGTCTCTCGCTCTCGCTCTCCGCTCTCTCCTCTCTCGCTCGCATCTCGCCGTCGCTCAGCTCTCTCTCTACTCTCTCTCCTCTCGTCTCGCTCGCGCTCTCTCTCTCTCTCGCTCTCTCTCTCCGCCTCTCTCTCGCTCTCTCTCTCGCTCCTCTCGCTCTACTCTTGCTCTATCTCTCATCTCTCGCGCGCTCTCTCCGCTCTCCCTCTCTCTCGTCTCGCTCTCTCTATCTCTCTCTCTCCCTCTCTGCGTTCCTCTCTCTCGCCTCCTTGCTCCTGCGGTCTCTCTCGCATCTCGTCTGATGGTCATCCCGTGTATTGCATTGGTACAGTCCAGGCCTCGAATTCCCCCTTGAGTGGCCGTTGTGCCCTTGGGCTGAATATAATAATTATAATTCCCTTTGCCCGGCTGACAATCATCGGTGCTCTGAAGCACCTCTCACTTACATGGCTCTCTCAGATATCAAAATGTTTATTAGCTAATGCCTGTCACGTGATCGGGTCCTTCTCACAGGCCTGGCAGCTCCGAAGTACAAGTGAAGACAGACACATCGGGGATGCAACAGCGTGCGTCCTTCTTAGCAAAATCACTAGCCTATGTCAATCTACTAAACCCCATAGTAGAAAACGTTACCTATTCTATTGGTTAGTTTTTTGTTCTGTGCGAGTAAGACATTTTCCAAACAGACTCTGGGACAGTTGTGGGATGATAGAGCCTAAATTCATACCACTGTACTTTAAAACAATTTTAAAAAGCAGTGAGGCTGATGCAACAGATCAGAACGTTTAGATTAAATGTTGATCAACTATTATTTCTTCAAAATATAAGTGAAGCAATGCGCACACGGCAGTAGACTATACGCACGAATGTTCCAAAATGCAATTTAGAAAGAGGTGTGATCTAAAGATGCAACAACTATCATCGGTTATGAAAGAAAGTTAAATTGAAACCCAATAGAACATGAGAGAAATGCTGGTTTCAATGGCATATGAGGAAGTGTTTATTAAATAATTCCCTCAACATTTCTATGGTTGGATTTTTCTAGGCTACTTTGAAACAATGTAAGACATGCCTCATAAAATGAGGTTTTAAATAATTAAGTTTATGGCCCTCCTGTAGCTCAGTTGGTAGAGCATGGCGCTTGCAACGCAAGGTTTGTGGGTTCGTTTCCCACGGGGGCCAGTATGAAAAATATATGCACTCACTAATTGGAAGTCGCTCTGGATAAGAGCATCTGCTAAATGACTAAACTGTATGGTTAAATAGTTTTAAAATGCTGACTCTCTATTCAGATTGCAAGGTGGGTGATGTTGCGATGCGCAACAGGCACTGGCCTTTCTCTCCTATCTGAACGAACCGTGCCTCAAGTACAGTTGCGGCCAAATATATAGGCACCCTTGCAAATTTCTTAAATAATTCACAAAAATGTATTCTAAAATAAATGGAAATTGAAAGATTTTGCCCACTCAACAGCGAACTGCTCTAATTCTTCAATGTTTGAGGGGTGCCCTCGACCAACTGCTTTTCAGATCTCGCCATTGGTTTTGGATGTGCTTCAGATCTGGACTCTACGCCGACCAATCCAGAACAGTCCAGTGTTTCTTCTTGAACCATTCCTGGGTGCTTTTTGATGTATGTTTTGGGTCATTGTCACGCCCTGGCTCTGGGGACACTGTTATGTTGAGCCAGGGTGTGTAATTCTATGTTTGTATTTCTATGTTGGCCTGAGTGACTCCCAATCAGAGGCAACGAGTGTCAGCTGGTTGTCTCTGATTGGGAGCCTTATTTAACTGTCTGTCTTTCACTTTGTGTTTGTGGTTTCTTGTTCTTATTTGGTTTGTGTTCAACCGTAGACATCACGTTTTCGTCTGTTGTTTTGATCGTGTGATCATTCCAATAAATATAATGTTCGCATTCAACGCTGCGCCTTGGTCTCTCCCTGACGATCGTGACAGTCATTGTCATGCTGGAGACCCACAACCTTCAATGGAGACCCAGTTTTTGGACAATGGGTTGAACATTGGATACCTGATAATCTGCTGATTTCATGATGCCTTGTGCATGCACGTTCAAGGCCCCCAGTACCAGATGCAGCAAAGCAACCCCACAGCATTATCAAACCTCCCCATGTGTGATTGTAGGGAGGGTGTTCTTTTCATCGAATGCTTCATTTTGTTGTCAGTAAACACAGCGCTGATCTGTACTGTCAAAGAGCTCTAATTTTGTTTAATTTGTCCAAAGACTATTTTCCCAGGATTAAGGCATGATTAAGTGGCTTTTTGCTAGCTAGCTTGTTATATATGTGGTTGTTATCCTGCATAACTGATGTGTATACACTGAGTGCATAATATTGAGATGCACCCCCTTTTGCCCTCAGAGCAGCCTCAATTCGTCGGGGCATGGACGCTACAAGGTGTCGAAAGCGTTCCACAGGGATGCTGGCCCATGTTGACGCCAATGCCTCCCACAGTTGTGTCAAGTTGGCTGGATGTCCTTTGGATGGTGGACACTCAAACTGGTGCACCTGGCACCTACTACCATATGCCGTTCAAAGGCACTTAAATATTTTGTCTTGCCCATTCACCCTCTGAATGGTACACATACACAATCCATGTCTCAATTGTCTCAAGGCTTAAAAATCCTTATTTAACCTGTCTCCTTCCCTTCATCTACACTGATTGAAGTGGATTTAAAAGGTGACATCAATAAGGGACCATCGTTTTCACCTGGATTCACCTGGTCAGTCTATGTCATGGAAAGAGCAGTGTAATTCTAACAGACACTTCATGTTTTATGGATAATATTTACATTTACAGAGTGGGTTACATCCATTCCTGACAGGTTGAATAGATTCAATAGCAGCCTCAGAGGCTGATAAGTCAGGTTTCTGCCTTGTAGGCTTTTTCATAGGTGATCAGCCTGCCAGGAGTAGAGCTCACCCTCTGGATCAGACATGCATCTGCTTATAAAGCACTTTGACAGCTAATTTGCCTGCAAGGAGCCTTACCTATGAAACAGCCTACAAGGAAGCATCCTGACTTATCAACCTCTGAGGCTGAAATTGAATCTGATCAGCCTGTCAGGAATTTAGCTCACCCACTGTAAATTGTTATATTATCCACAAAACATTTAGTGTCTCTTATACTTTTACACATATCAGTTATGCAAGCTAACAACCAGCATAGATAACAAGCTAGCTAGCTAACAACACTACCTATATAACTAGCTAGCTCACAAGACCAGCCAAGTTAGCTGCGTTGTTCCTTACATGCGATTGGCACGCAGCCTTGGAGACAGAGCTGCCTGTCAGGCATTGTTCAGGGCTTAAATGCCCCACGAGCGCATTGCGATCAACGCAGCCACAAGGCTCCTTCATGATGTGGTTATCGTGAATCTGAACAGCGGTACTTTTGATTATCTTGTGATCTCGAAAAAAACAACTTTTGTTATGTCATGATCACGAGAACATTATCTTGTGATCTTGACAAAACAACTTTTGTTATGTAGTGAGAAAAATCAGTTGTGATCTCGAAATAACAAGGGTCATTTTATTTGTATTCTATGTCCTCTCTGGACTTCCATAGTTTGCTGCTGAAGAGTGGGACACATTGCCAGTGGAAAAGTGTGCAGCAGAGTGATGTTGTTACCCTATATTATGCACAGGCATTTTATTTTGAAGGAATTGTACAGAGGACTTTTATTTTGATAGAGCAGAGAGGACTGGGTCAATGGGTCAACTCAAGAGGTGATACATTTATTTTTGTATTAATTTGCATTCCATTGTCATTTTATTTTATGTAAAAGCACTAAACTGTATTATCTCATGTTTTAAAAAAATTGTAGTCAGGTATGATAGTGCATCCTTGGTTGGTTTGGTCCATTTGTTTGGTTCCCCTTTTATCATCCTCTCTTGTCTGCCTATCCTTGAGAGAAGGTATGTTGTCCTCTACTCCTCTATTTTTAAGTGTAAAAACATGTAAATATGTTATTTCAAGCGGGAGAAAAGTTTTGTCATTTGTATTTATATATTTTTCTGCAATTCTCATTGTATATTATATTTGCCATGCACGAGCGTGTTTAAAAAAAATGTATTTAGCTCGGTTAGCAGCGCAGCATATGGTGTATGATGGTGTATTGTTTTCATGTAGTTAGTGGTTTGCTGTGCCCTGACAGGTGCGTGAGAGCATGTGCGCAAGTGCTGACACTGTAACCGGTTTTTGTCAACTCTGCAGGTATGATGTAGAATAATTTATAATGAGAATTGCAAATTGTCATTTGTGTGTTTTATTTTGTACTGTGGTGAATGTGTTGTGGTGTGCTAGGTGCACTGCATTTGTGCGCCACAATACATTTTTGTGACCTCTCATCTGCCTATCTTTGGGAGAAGGTGTGCGAGAGCATGTGTGCAAGAGCTGACTCTGCAACCTGTTTTTGTCAACTCTCTGCAGGTGGCAAATAAATCCCCACAAATCAATCCAGTTCTCAGAGTGACCTTATTTCAGACACAACGCCGAATTAAGCACGCTACAGGTGCAGCAAGCTTATTGATGGCTACAAGAAGAATTTTTCGGCAGTATCTTGGCCAAAGGCTGTGCAACCAAGTACAAGCTCCGGGGGGGGCAATTAAAATCATAAACATAAGTTTACAAAAATAAAATTGGTTCTACAATGTTGAAAATCCCCAAAACAAGGTGTGGAGACTACGTTTTTTCAACTTCAACTTATTTTAGAAGAAATAGGGAATTATTTAAGAAAAGTTAAAGAGTGCCAATATATTTGGTCGCGACTGTATGTCAACAGAATCAAGTCTTTAGACGTTAATGTTAATTATCCTATATTATATTTGTCAAACATGTCGACAAATATATTAACGTTTGGCTACATTTTCTGGCGGCTCATGTCAGCATCTGTGTGGACATGAGAGGCTGTAGCCAATAGTCTATCACCTACACTTTGACATGTAGGCTAATACTTTTAAGACATTTGCATACACTTATGTTTTTCTTAACAGAATAGCTAGTGTTTTTTGTTTTTCTAATGAATTTAATTGGCTATTTTGGTTTATGGCCTTGGTGCCCTGGCAGATTGGGCACCTCTTGAAGGCCTTACCCCTAAAAATCACGAAATTCCAGGCCTGGTACAGTCTACGGTTGGGGAATATTTTGCTATCTGGTGCCCTCAACTGGTCATTGTAAAGCAATGCAGGCATGACATAGCTCTTTGCAGTCACTGAAATAAGCACTCAAATGTAATTAGCATGGTGTGTATACTCACCTGTAGTAGGCCAGCTGGATGAAGGCATTGGGGCTCATCTTGTGAGTCTTGGGGACGTTCTTGCCATAGTGTGAGAAGACAATGACTTTGACATCCAGGTCATGCACCATTCTGGAGGGTAGATGACAATATGTAGAATATTAGAGGGTAGGCCTACACAAATATATACATTCATAATTGAATACATCAAAACTGTTTTTCATAAATATATACGTAGGCCTGTATAATATGTAATCAAGGTCTTGAAAATAAGATTAGTTGATTCAGGTGTGTTAGCGTTGGGCTGGAACAAAAGCCTGGAACCCCCTACAGCTCTCCAGGACCAAGGCAAGTGACCACCACTGCTACAGATGTAGGATCTTAATTTGATCAACCTGTTGCAGGATATGTACAACTTGTAGTGTATTTGAGGTTCAAAACAGCTTCTGAAGTTTATAATTTCCCACTTTGAAGTTTCTAATTTGATTTTACCTTATGAAAAATGTATAAACCACTATAAAAAAAAGTTTTTATTATAATCCACATAATTTACATTTCCAGTTGCTGCAGGATTATTTTCCTGCTGTAGCAAACTAGTTCAAATTAAGATCCTACATATAATGTACAGTATGTAGCATGTACCTCTAACATAGAAACAGAACTAGAACATACACATATGTGCAGTACAGATCCGCTATCCAAATTTGATCACTCTGTACAAATAATACAAATTGTAGTGTATTCAAGGTATGAAAAAGCTTCTGAAGTGTGTAATTTCCACTTAAAAAATTGACTTGATTTTCCCTAACGAAAAAATGTATCAACCCCTACAAATGGTGTACTCCTGAGTGGCGCAGTGGTCTAAGGCACTGCATCGCAGTGCTAACTGTGCCACTAGAGATCCTGGTTCGAATCCAGGCTCTGTCGCAGCCGGCCGCGACCGGGAGACTCATGGGCGGCGCACAATTGGTCCAGTGTCGTCCAGGGTAGGGGAGGGAATGGCCGGCAGGGATGTAGCTCAGTTGATAGAGCATTGTGTTTGCAACGGCAGGGTTGTGGGTTCGATTCCCACGGGGGGCCAGTATAAAAAAATATATATATATATGTATTCACTAACTGTAAGTCGCTCTGGATAAGAGCGTCTGCTAAATGACTCAAATGTAAAATGTACAAAAATGTCAATTTTATATAATTTACATTTCCTGTTTTTGCAGGATTATTTTCTAATTAAGATAGTGAATCTGTATATCTACGCTCTAACATGTTGACGTTCTGCTTAGCCTTAGCCTTCTCTATGTCCTTCTTGATCTCGGGCGTGATGTTGAAACATAGTTTCTGGGGCATGGGCAGGGGGACCATTTGGGTACCCACCATCTCAGACTTCTTCCTGTTAGGAACATGGCAGGAAACCATCAGGGCATGGGTTTCAAACGCCATTGTACTCATTAAGGGGTGAATTCTACCTGCAGACACGGCGGAGTAGATCAACATTTTCCAAAAATCTTCCATTGACGTCACTAAATGATTTTACAAGTTACATTTGTTGCTGCCCTATGCACAGCCGGCACAACAGGGATGAGTGAGTGATTGAAGAGACAGTGTTGTGTAAATTAACGAGATGACCCAACAGTGGTGTCCTTACGTGTACTTGACGACGTGGTCAATCAAGGACATGGGCGGGCCTTCGGCGGGGGGCGTGCTCATTCATAAGACCACATGACCCGTCATCTCCAATGATAAACTGGAAACATGGGAAACGGGAAAAGTCAGGAACACTTGACAGACTACTTCAAGAAGGGCAAAATACATACAGGGTCTGTGTGTTGTGTGTTTAATATACATTGTGTGTGTGTGTGTGATATATATATAGATATATATATATATATATATATATATACAGTCGTGGTCAAAAGTTTTGAGAATGGCACAAATACTAATTTTCACAAAGTCTGCTGCCTCAGTTTTGATGATGGCAATTTGCATATACTCCAGAATGTCATGAAGAGTGATAAAATGAATTGCAATTAATTGCAAAGTCCCTCTTTTCCATGAAAATGAACTTAATCCCAAAAAAACATTTCCACTGCATTTCAGCCCTGCCACAAAAGGACCAGCTGCAATCATGTCAGTGATTCTCTCGTTAACACAGGTTAGAGTGTTGACGAGGACAAGGCTGGAGATCACTCTGTCATGCTGATTGTTATTCTAACTCAGACTGGAAGCTTTCAAAGGAGGGTGATGCTTGAAATCATTGTTCTTCCTCTGTTAACCATGGTTAGCTGCAAGGAAACACGTGCCGTCATCATTGCTTTGCACAAAAAGGCTTCACAGGCAAGGATATTGCTGCTAGTAAGATTGCACCTAAATCAACCATTTATCGGATCATCAAGAACTTCAAGGAGAGAGGTTCAATTGTTGTGAAGAAGGCGTCAGGGCGCCCAAGAAAGTCCAGCAAGCGCCAGGACCGTCTCCTAAAGTTGATTCAGCTGCGGGATCGGGGCACCACCAGTGCAGAGCTTGCTCAGGAATGGCAGCAGGCAGGTGTGAGTGCATCTGCACGTACAGTGAGGCGAAGACTTTTGGAGGATGGCCTGGTGTCAAGAAGGGCAGCAAAGAAGCCACTTCTCTCCAGGAAAAACATCAGGAACAGACTGATATTCTGCAAAAGGTAAAGGGATTGGCTGCTGAGGACTGGGGTAAAGTCATTTTCTCTGATGAAACCCCTTTCCGATTATTTGGGGCATCCGGAAAACACCTTGTCCGGAGAAGACAAGGTGAGCGCTACCATCAGTCCTGTGTCATGCCAACAGTAAAGCATCCTGAGACCATTCATATGTGGGGTTGCTTCTCAGCCAAGGGAGTGGGCTCACTCACGTTTTTGCCTAAGAACACAGCCATGAATAAAGAATGGTACCAACACATCCTCTGAGAGCAACTTCTCCCAACCATCCAAGAACAGTTTGGTGACGACCAATGCCTTTTCCAGCATGATGGAGCACCTTGCCATAAGGCAAAAGTGATAACTAAGTGGCTCGAGGAACAAAACATCGAAATTTTGGGTCCATGACCAGGAAACTCCCCAGACCTTAATCCCATTGAGAATTTGTGGTTGATCCTCAAGAGACGGATGGACAAACAAAAACCCACAAATTCTGACAAACTCCAAGCATTGATTATGCAAGCCATCTCGTGAAGCTGGTAGAGAGAATGCCAAGAGTGTGCAAAGCTGTCATCAAGACAAAGGGTGTCTATTTGAAGAATCTCAAATATAACATTTATTTTTTCGTTACTACATGATTCCATTTGTGTTATTTCATAGTTTTGATGTCTTCACTATTATTCTACAATGTAGAAAATAGTAAAAATAAAGAAAAACCCTTGAATGAGTAGGTGTTCTAAAACTTTTGACCGGTAGTGTATATACTACTGTATGTGTATGTGTGTGTGTGTGTATGTATACAAGTGTGTGTGTAGTGTCACCTGCAGGGTTTTTTGAACCAGCGGTGCCGGTGTTCCAGCGACTGCTCCCTCCGTAGAGTATCTGGACAGCGGCCCGGCTGCAGTACAACTCGTCAGAGACGCAGGGCATGGGAGCGCCCAGAAGATGCACTGTAAAGATGCTCTTCTGGATGGCCCGCACCAAGTCCTTATTAGTCTTATCTAGGTGGAGGAAAGGGGGGAGGGAATGTAGATATGTATTGGTGGATGCCTATCTCCTTTGTATTCACACCAACCTTAACCCAGTTCTGACCTAGTTCTTCTGAATAATTTCTTATCCACTTCTGACCCAGTTCTGGGCCCTTATTCACAAAGCATCTTAAAGTAGTAATGCTGATCTAGGATCAGTTTTGCTTTTTAAATCATAATGAATAAAAGGGGGATCTGATTCTAGATCAGCGCTCATGGTCTCAGACTAGTTCAAACCAGCTTCAGACCCAGTTTAACCAAGTTCTAACCAAGCTCTAACCTAGTCCTGGCCCAGTCCTTTCACATCAACACAAGCAAAGTAAAAGCACACAAGACGAGGAGCGACTTTAGGAGCGTCCCCTCCCCCCTCATTCCCTGCCTATGTGTCTCGTCTCCACTCTCCAGGTTTCCTCACCCTTGATGAGGTTGTTGTAGGCCTTGACCCGGGTGTTGCATTGGTTGGAGGTGAGGATTCCAATGGGCTCCTTGTTGGTCTGCAGCGAGGAGTTCGAGATCTTCTCCAGCTGCATGTACAGCTGGTCTACCGTCATTGGGGTGCTGTCGCTGTTATACAGGTCCAGCACAAAGAACTGATGGAGGAAGAGAGACGGGAGCATAGCCGCAGGATGTAGGTGTGCTGAGGGTTCTGCAGCACCCAGAGAAAAATCAGAATTCCCCCAAAATATGAAAACATATTTTGTTTATTTTTAATTTGATTTTTCTCACAAAAGTAGGGCACTGGGCCTTTCTTGTATTAGTGGACCGATATAGCTGCAGGACAACAAATTCTCAGCCGCACTACCTTACCTGGAAATTGTGCACCACAGTGATGTGAGTGGGAGGCCTGGAGCTGTGGGAGTGGTTGACCACCGTGTCTCTCTTCAGGCCGGGGACGCGACACGAGGACAGGACCTGGTAGTACTGGTTCATACACAGCTGTTTCTGCCCCAGGTACTCCACTGGTAACGTCTCAGTGTGGATCAAACATTCAAATATTGATGTATTGACTCATTGAAGTACTTCAACAGTTTAAAAGAGGAATATGCAGTTACAATTTACTTGAACATTCAGTCATAAGTCCTACATGGTGATTCCATAATTATGACATAAAACTCAGGAGATATTCACACAGTAATGACAGCGGATGTCAACTTGTGGCAATAAACTTAACACAATGATGAAATGGTTATCTCTAAGTAAAGCTACATGAAGATGTCTGCTCCCAACCAGACAGCACACAAACACACCTTTTTGTTCATATACTGTATATGTAGGCCCCATGACAGAGGTTTCAACTATAGTGTAACCAAATATACTTAAAGACTATACAAATTAATCCGAAAAATGTCTAATTATGCCGCACTGTTTCATATATAAACTCAGAGTGGATATAGGCACTATCAATTCTAAAGTTCAAATGCTCACTTTTTAACATTTGTGGCACAAATTCAATGCAAGTCAATGGTTCCTATAATAGCATTTTCATGCTTCAAATCATCTATAAATAATGTCCACATCATCTATAAGTAACTTAATTGAGCTACACAATACATTTTTGATACTTTAAGATTATTTGGACATGAAGCACGGAAATGCTAATATACAGAGTGGTCCGAAATTATTGACACCCTTGATAAAGATGAGAAAAAAGGACTGTATAAAATAAATAATTAAAATACTGAGCTATATTGTATGCTCAAAAAAAGTGGAAAATTATATATGTTTTATACTAATACAATTGCTCAGACCTCAATTGGTAGAGCATGGCGTTTGTAACGCCAGGGTAGTGGGTTCTATCCCCGGGACCACCCATATGTAAAAATGTATGCACACATGACTGTAAGTCGCTTTGGATAAAAGCGTCTACGAAATGGCATATTATGGCATATTATTTAGTTAAATAATTTATGATCTGCTTAATGGACAGATTTTGGGCGGAGTAAACCCTTCGCCTCGTCCTTTTTGATATTATAGTAGATATATAAATGTGCAATTCTCACTTTTACCTGGGAAAGGCAGCAATAGGCAACACAGCGTCCAGTCGGCCGAAGAAGAAGAAACTTGAAAGGTGACGTTATCAAAACCTCACCACAGAGTTTCTAAACCCAGAGACACAACATCGCAAGACTTCCGGGAACGCTTGCAAAGTAGCCCAGGCTGGGGTTTGAAAAATCAATGAGAGAAGAAATCTCCATTAGCTGTTAATTTTCTCGAAATCTAAGGGCACAACCTAGATTTGAGACAGTGTCTTAAGTAGTTGAACATGTTATTACTCCAACCTCGTGAAAGTGACAAACTGACACGTTTTCATTTTCGTCAAAAACATCTTATCGGAGTGCCTTTGACGGCCTGCACATGCGCAGTTCGTCGCGAGACGACAATTAGATCCAATGAGGTCTTTTTGCGCATGAGCTCAGCTAGCCAACATCGTCTTGACATCGCCTACAAGCGTGATCGGGGATTTCTATTGGAGAAGCAGTTTCTGCCTATCTTCATACAGTACTGTCTTTGACCTGACATCTTGTAAACATGGCGGAGACCGAACACCATTCAGGTAACTTCATCGTTTAATACTGAGTTTTCTGGAATATTTAATGGCATGCAATAGTTGCTGATAAGAAAGGAGTAGCAGGAGATTCCCCACGTGGATTAATGCTGCTAGCGTTACTTTTTGCAAGCCAATCAATAGGTCCTGGTTTGCTGAGAATTCTCAAATCCAAATTCTTAGCTAGGGTCCTTGGGTGTATTCATTCATCAAAACGTTTCGCAAACGGAATGAAACGAGAGGCTCCTACACTGAGTTTGTCCAATAGAAACTGTCGTTTTGCTCTGTTTGCTTCCGTTTGTTAAATGGAAGGGGAAAAAAATCGAGGCACTAGCTAGTCACTAGCTATTTTACATTTACATTTTAGTCATTTAGCAGACGCTCTTATCCAGTGAGTGCATACATTTTTCATACAATTATGCAACAACCTTGTATCTTCTATTCATGCATGGTATAGATTTTGTATGATCACCATGAGCCAAGTGATGGCTATGGTTAATGTTACACTTGGTAACTATAATGAACAAAAATAATCTATGGATTTCACATGACTGGGCAGGGGCGCCTGGGAGGACATAGACTCACCCATTTGGGAGCCAGGCACACCCACTGGGGAGCCAGGCCCAGCCAATCAGTTAGCTAGTTAGCTTTATTGATAAGCTTGTGCTAATGCACTGCAATGAGAGAGCTATTTGGGCATGAAGCCAATTGATGGAAAAGGCAATATTGTCCCAGCTTTTTCTTATATGTGGCAGGCTTGGTCATACGTAGTGCCATAGCCATTACTTTACAGGCAAACTGACATTAGCTAGGCTATATTAATGTTTTCATATGCTGCTCAACTTTAATAAATGTTTGTCATAATTGTCAATTGTCATAATATAATGCCTGCATCTGTTTGAAAACATCTGTATGGATGACGTGCCAATGATTGATTAGTATGCCATATAGTGTGATTTTCTTTCCCGAACAGTCACACGAAGCTGTAAGCCTTAAGTCCTCTAAATAATACTTTTAATGTATTTGGCTGCCTCCATTTAGGCTGAGTATTGTAATCTGTGCATGCAACTGGAAAGCCCTGCACTCTACAATATTACATTCTTTATTTTGCACTTTCATTTTGCTGACTAAAGACAGAGTGGAAATATAAGCTTGTTATGCCTTTTCGGTTAGAAAAACAGAACTTGAAAGAAGTGAAAGTGTGTGTATTGTGTGTCATGTATGATTTTGTGTATTTTTGTGTGTGGTTATTCTGAACCTTTTTATTAATGTACAGTACCAGTCAAAAGTTTGGACACACCTACTCATTCCAGGGTTTTTCTTAATTTTTTACAATTTTCAACATTGTAGAATAATAGGGAATAAATCAAAACTATGAAATAACACATATGGAATCATGTAGTAACCAAAAAAGTTTTTTACAAATCAAAACCATTCTCTCAACCAGCTTCACCTGGAATGCTTTTTCCAACAGTCTTGAAGGAGTTCCCGCATATGCTGAGCACTTGTTGGCTGCTTTTCCTTCACTCTGCATTTCAACTCATCCCAAACCATCTCAATTGGGTTGAGATCGGGTGATTGTGGAGGCCAGGTCATCTGATGCAGCACTCCATCACTCTCCTTCTTGGTCAAATAATAATAATAATAATATGCCATTTAGCAGACGCTTTTATCCAAAGCGACTTACAGTCATGCGTGCATACATTTTTTTTGTGTATGGGTGGTCCCGGGGATCGAACCCACTACCTTGGCGTTACAAGCGCCGTGCTCTACCAGCTGAGCTACAGAGGACCACAATGCCTTGGGCTGTTGTTGGTGCGCAAACAACCATTCGCTACAGTGTGTTGGAAAAGTATTCACCCCCTTTGTGTTCTTTTCACATTTATTGGCCAAGACTGGTGTCTTGGGAAGTAACAATTAATAAAAACTTGACAAGTCAATTCATGGTGGGGCCAGTATGAAAAATGTATGCACTCACTAACTGTAAGTCGCTAATAAAAATCAAACATACCCAAAGAAAAACAGTTCAATGTTAGGAGGGTTTGTTTTGGGGTTTTATGTGTTTGTTCTCATTTCAGACCATAGAAAAGGTTCTGGCTCTGTTGGGGATTCTGGACCGCTGGATAGATGAGACCCCTCCTGCAGACCAGCCCTCTCGCTTTGGCAACAAGGTCTACAGGACTTGTTACGCCAAGCTGACCAGGTAAGCGCACACACACACACACACACGGACACAGACAGACACCCACACCCATGCACACACACAGAAAGAAAAAGAAAATAAAGACTACCTCCGTCTTCAGCGTTTTTTGCGTAAGTGGGAGGCACACAGGTTTCATGGATAACGTACTTTTAGACAAGGAGTTTCCTCTGTATCTAGTTCTTCAGCATAGAAAGAATATACACAGTCATAAAAAAAAAAACACACACGGTGTATCCTATCCACAAGTGTTTTAATAAAATAGATAGAATTGAAATTGTTTTTGTGTGTGTTGAAGGTTTTGTTGTGATATGTGGTGATTGTCTTTAGTGGTTTTCAGTGGTAGACTGCGACAGAGCAGGTAAATGTTGAACTGGAATGCAAAAATCGCTGGCCCGACTGCCACATGTTTTTACAGACCCCGGGCCATCGTTATTGTCGGACCCTGCGCGCTAAAGAAAATAAATGAATGTGCCAGAAAACAATAGGCTAAGTGGATTTCGACTCATTGTTACCACATTATATGTATGGGAAGTTGGGGAATCCTGGCCTAAGGGATGCTTTCTTTTGGGGACTTCATGTTGAGTAAATAGTGATGACTGGTGTAATGTATGAATGAAGCCAGAGAGTTGATATGTCGCATGTGCATAGTTTGTATTTTTGCATCTCAGCTAATTTACACTTCTCTTTCTCTGCATATCCTCTCACCAGTTGTGATACAGTGGGGGAAAAAAGTATTTAGTCAGCCACCAATTGTGCAAGTTCTCCCACTTAAAAAGATGAGAGAGGCCTGTAATTTTCATCATAGGTACACGTCAATTATGACAGACAAATTGAGATTTTTTTTTCTCCAGAAAATCACATTGTAGGATTTTTAATGAATTTATTTGCAAATTATGGTGGAAAATAAGTATTTGGTCACCTACAAACAAGCAAGATTTCTGGCTCTCACAGACCTGTAACTTCTTCTTTAAGAGGCTCCTCTGTCCTCCACTCGTTACCTGTATTAATGGCACCTGTTTGAACTTGTTATCAGTATAAAAGACACCTGTCCACAACCTCAAACAGTCACACTCCAAACTCCACTATGGCCAAGACCAAAGAGCTGTCAAAGGACACCAGAAACAAAATTGTAGACCTGCACCAGGCTGGGAAGACTGAATCTGCAGGTAAGGTAAGCAGCTT